GTACGATAAAATTTAATTAATATTTTATAATGCTTTTTATATTCTTCTTTTCTTTTTTTTTTTTTGTATAAAAAATGTATACCTTTATTTTATCTTATCTATAAATATCATGTAAACATCGTTCTCGTGCATACTACGTAGTTATATACCCACTTAACGGAATAAGAATAGCAAATTTAGAATATTAAAGGTGCTAGGAATAATCTCGGTGCACAATTTAGAAAAATACTATTTGAACTATTTTTTTTAAAAGCCATTTGTGAAATTGTTGATTATTTGTCACGGTTCGTATATTTCGCGTGTTCTTCGAAATACATATATATATATATTTATGTAAAATAGAAAAAAAACCGGATAGCTTAGTCGTAATCAAAAAAAATGACGCTTTAAGTATATACGCGAGGTATATATACGTTATTTTACGGCTTTAAGAATTCTCTGTTAACCTACTCCGCTTCTTAAATAGTCTGACCTAAATTTAGTTCGCGGTGGTCGTTAAAAACTCTTTTCTTTTATCAAGTATATATCCATTGTATCGTTCTCTCATTCGTTAAACGTGCGGAGACCGTTAGTTATTATAATAGCAAAGCTTCAATGTGAAAAAATCCTTAACAAGTAGCCGAGAAATCTTCTATGCTTTTATAACGTTCTCGAAACAAAGAAATAACTTCGGGAGGGAAAAGGTAAAAAGGGTTGAGATAGAAGAACCTTTTAACAATTTGATTGTCACACCTAATTCACATATTTATATTATTCAATATTTCATATATTAATTAATCTTTCATTTTTTTTCAACGTTACACACTTTTTATTTCAAAAAGTGTATTAACAATCAATTTTCATTGAACTTATACAATTGTAAAAAAAGTTCAAGAGCTTTGATATAACCAATGATCAACGTGACGATCAAAGTGTGAAAAAAGAAAAAAAGAATGAAATAAGAAGAATAAATAGAAATACCTGAGGAGGTCCGCTAATAACAGCGTATAATCTGACTCCTGCATAGGGTGCCCAGGATAACCAGAATGTCATCACTAGGACAAAGGACATGATGTGACTCGGGTTGCTCAAATTTTCGGAAAGTGCTGTTGCATATTCCTTGTCGTGCATCAATGCACCTGATTTCAGTCGTCTCATCATCGAGAATATATAGAAATAGGTATAGACGATGGTGATTACTGATGGTCCGAGCACGAGGATAGACAAGGTTATGGTGTATGCTGCCATGTTGCCCCAATCTAGCATACAGATGAATGCCTCGCGATCAAATATCGGCTTGTTGAAGCCAAGAAGTGGCGGACAACACATCATTGCTACGCTGATCCACGTGAAAACCATCCAGCATTGACATCGCGTTTTTGTCTGGACTGTCTCGTATCTTAATGGTTTCCTGATTAAATATTTATAATAATATTTTAACACAATTATTCAATATTTCTCAACAATTAAATTATTATTATCCTTTTGTGAAAAGCCTATTACTTTATATATATATATATAACATAATCTATTTAATTTTGTCGTTTATTTTTCCTCAAAGCTTTTTATACTCCTTTTTTTAAAAAAAAAAAAAATTGTTTAACATATTTACGTTAGATAATTTTTAGGTAATTTTTGTCTAAGTCCGAAAGAGAATCGTTAAGTTGTTATATCAACATTATCGTTAATATATCTCGATAAAGATAATTATTAATTAATTGTAAAAGTATATAATTTGGATTTACCTGACGGCTAGGTAACGATCGACGGAAATCCACATAAAAGTATAGACGGATATCGCCCATAAGGTAACTTCGAGATATCCGACGAGACGACACACGATGTCCCCATAGACCCATTTTCGCACCAATGCCGGATATACGGAAAGCGGAACCACCAGCAGACCACAAAGAAGGTCCGCAGAAGCAAGAGACAGCAAGTAGTAATTTATCACCTCGGAGGGACCTGCACGTGGTATTATCATCTTAAAAATATTTTTCTAACTTTTGAAAAGAGGGGGGAGGAGGGACTTGAGTTATCACATATATTTTTTATTTTTATATTGTCCTCGTCGTATATGTATATATATATTTATATTTATAGGAGGAGTTACGATATATATTAAGACAAATTCTCATCTACTCTGAACTATTGCACAATATATTTGTGCAATATAACTAAATGTAAACTTTCTATTTATAACTAGTTAGTATTTTTCATTTCTTCAAAAATGTCAATGCTTTATACAATTTAAAATTGGCCGATAAAAGAAATTGCGTAACCATTGATTATGAAAGTGGTTGTAAGTTCAATTTTCATAGGAAAAGAAAAAGTAAAAAATAATATGATACAAATATATGATGGATAAGGTTTTGAAAAAGTGCACCATATATACTATTTTATATAAAATGTTAATGAAAGACATCTTTAATTTTCTGAAAACAATAGAAAATGGAATTACACCACTTTCAAAATAAACGATCCATTATTATAATGAAATTATTCATTTAACTGAAGTTATGTTTCTTTTATTTTAAATTTCATTTCCTTCCTTCCTTTCTTCCTTCCTCGTCAAATCAGTTTAAAGTTAATAATGATAATAGAATCGTAAGAAAGCATATTGCATTTATCTAGGAAACTAATTGATTTTTTGTAAAAGAGGTGAAAAAATACTTACCACGGAAATTGAGGTATGTGACGATGACGAGGAGATTCGAGAGGATGATGGCGACACAGACCACGAAGATGAGGCTTGCCTGCATGAGAGCCTCCAGCGAGGGCTCCTCCATGCCGCCACCCTTTCGAGCTGCATCCCCCTCACCCGCCCTTCTAACTCCTGTTACTCTTCTTTACAGCCTTCTTTCTTCACGAAACCCTCTCACTCTCTTTCTCTTTCTCTTACTTTTCTCTACTTCCGTAGCTCGTTTTCACTCACTCTTTCTCTATTTTTTTTTCTATCCCCTTTCTATCTATCTATCTTTATTTCTTTCTTTGACGTTTTTCGATTTTCTACGTTCGTCGTTCCACTTGACTCAAACCTTGGAACCCCTCATGCGACAGAATTCTCAGCAAAAGGTTCACATCTTCGATGATCTTCTTGATTGATCGATAAAGTAACATCCCTGTATTGAAAATCATAGATTTATATTAACGTTCGATATATAATATATAAATCAATATAATTATTATTTAATAATTAAATTGTTCTAGCAGATTTTTTGATAATCTTGTGTTGAAGGATCGGTAAAGTAACATTCGTTCTAATGAAAATCATTGTTTTATTTATATATGACAATCGACGAATGAAACGTGTAATTTTTTAAACTATAACAAGAAGAAATAAAAATTGTTCGTAACGAAAAAGGTGATGTGGAATTGTTTTTATATTATTAGGAAAAACCACGTAGCCTATTCTCCACGTCGCAATACGTCGTATGACTTACACGCGTGTTACCCTCCTCAGTTATCGACCGCCATTCATAATTTAGCCTAGTCGATTCTGAATGGGGGGATATAGATTATGTAGCATAACGTAAACCATGTTTCCATCGTATTTTTCCGAATTTAAGTGAAACTTCTAGATTTTTTTGTTCCCTTACGAAAAACACATACGCTATCATCATCATCATCATCATCATCTCTCTTATAGTTAGTTATATTCAAATTGTGTGTGTTCGATTCAATAATAATTAATTTTTCTCTGTTGAAAATTGATTAACAAAAAAAATAATCATTTAAGGATAATATTATTTGATCTTGAATTTTTTCCCAATATTATATGGAATACATTGATCGTTAGGAAAAATTTAGAATAAAAAGATAAAGAGAAGAAGAAAAAAAAAAATAAAAGATGGTAATAAACTTTAAAAGTATATTGGAAAAAAAAAAATTTGGAAATAACGTTGCATCGAAATACTGTTACATGTATATATATATATATTTCTCGAGTAAAAAAACACGTGAGAATTGTCAATTGGAAACAGAGTCGTTTTGTAACCTGAATACTTTTTTCTTCTTCTATTCTTTTTCTTTTCTTTCTAAGTAAGTGCCATTTCGTGGTCACGACAAGAACGAAATAAAAAATTATTCGATAACGACTTGTTAAGAAAATCATTGTTCCCTTCGTCACGCGACTTTCCTTTCGATCAAATCCTGTTACGCGAAAAAAAAATTGTTTTAACGAAGCCTTCGTCGTATATATATAAAAAAAAAAACTTGAAATTACAACGTAACTTTAAATCCTCTTTTTCTTTTCTCACACTCCTCGAAACAACTATTTATTTTCTTTTTTTCCGAATTAATCTTAGCTTGCACGTGACTGACTTTATCTATCAATGTTCTTTATTCGATGTTAAAAAATACAAATAAAACGAATCAGTCTTGTAATTTCGTTTCCGTTAACGGGACAACGAACTTTACCGATAAATATATTTTCTCTCGATTTTATTTTAAAGATTAATTTTGCCCATTTTTCAATTTATTTTTCAATTACATTATTTTTCTTTCGATTATATATTTTATATAATATAATTAATAATATAATAATTAATGTGTGTGCGTGTATTCTATCTTATTACATATCGATAATATATATTTAAAAAAAAAATGCATTTCAAAGTTAAACACACACAATTATCAATAAATAAATAAATAAATAAATAAATAAATAAATAAATAATATATATAAATTGTGTGATAAAAGGGATTGTAATTTAAAACAAATGAAATTATTCCACGTTCCTTGGCGATATTTTATTACTACTATAAAAAGAAAAAAAGCGCGTTTAATAACACGATTGGCAAATTATAATAAAATTCTCGAGTATGGGGGTGGAGAAGGAGAAGGGTGAGGAGGAGGAGGTGGTGGTATTGTCTTATTTATGAGAGGGATAAAAAATTCCATTGGAATACCTAAGAGCGACAAAGGGAATTCCAACAAGTCGATGGAAGCGGCATCCGCTATTCTAGCGAATTCTTGCGCATCGGTTTCTTCTAATCGATGCAACGATAAAGAACCCCCTCCCCCTCCCTCTCACCACCCCCTACGATCTTTTTAACGAAAAGCGTCGTTAAGAAAATTGTTTCTTTTTTTTCTTTTTTCTTTTTTCTTTTATTGCATATTACGTGATATTCCGTTTTTGTTTGTTTTTTATTTATTTATTTATTTATTTTTTTTTGGATGAAAATACGACCGATAAGAAGTTATCAGCATAAACGTTGTTTTCGTGTCATGCGTGAGACGATTTAAGTCGAGAAGGAGGAGAAGGGGGAGAAGGGGGAAAACTAGCTTGGCGCCAATGCGCAATTGATGACGGCTTGCTAACGATGCACCATAAATCAAAAAAAAAAAAGAAAAAAAAAGTATCCCACCCTTGTTAGTTCCTTCCTCTTATTTATAAATATTTTACACCGACGTTCGGTAAATTTCATGATATGGAAAAAGAAAAAGATAAAAAAAAAAAAGATTGGACTTGATATATAAATAAATAATAATAAAAAAGAAAAAAAAAAGAACCAAGGGGGAAATATTCTTTTAGAAAATATTATTTTTTCTCGTTAATTTTTTATCGTTCTACGAAAAGAATCAAAAAAAAAACAAAAAAAAAAAAGAAAAATTGTGTTAACTTATACGAAAAATATAACGAAGCATTTAAAATTTTGTATTACAAGGCGAAATTATTAATTGTAAACGAGATCATTTGCAAATGAATTTATTAAACGTTAAATTTGTTTAACGATGAACACGTTAGTAATGGTCTTTCTCTTTTTTTTTCGTTTCCACGTTGTTTTTATATACTCAGGTTCACGAACACCTTTATGTGTGCATATATATATGATATAACTTGCGCTTTTCCAATCTTGTAAATATCAATTTTCGAACGTTCGCGTTGGGAGGTAGATCAAAGGGAACGTCAACTAGAAACGAAGGAAAGAAAAAGAGGGTGAAAGAGAAAAAGAGAGTGAGAGAGAGAAAGATAAAAAGAGATGAGAGAAAATGTGACGAGGGTTGAGCTGTTGAAGAAGAATGTCAAAGGCAAAATCGGAAGCGATCTAAGCGTACGACACGATGTACATACATACGTATATATATAAATACAATACACATATATATATATATACAAGGATACATATACGAGTCTTTTAGATATGTAATAGTACACATATGATATATATATATGTATACACAGAACGACCAACTTTTTCGTCGAAAAATATATTACCCGCGACGTGGTAAACGTGGTCAAAGTGATCGATTAATCGATTCGATACCATTATTATCAAATATTCATTAACATTCAAAAAGAAAAGAAAAGAAAGTAGATAAAAACAGAAATTCATTAGAAAACGTTCACAGGCTAAATAGAAAATAATTATATTTAAAATTACTTACGCGAATTCGTGGTGATGATGATGATGATGACGACAACAACAACAACAACAACAACAACACTATGAAAAATCCTTCTTGAAGAAGAATTTGTAGAAAGAATAGTGTGTTGTTTTAAATAGAGATTACAAAAAATATTGCAAATGTATATACGTTTCCCGCGCGTGTTTCATTTTCCAATGCATATATATATATATACACGTACACTGATTTAAAAAAAAATAAACCAAAAAAGAAAAATATATTCTAACAAAATAATACGAGATAAATTTAACAAACGTGGAAAAAAGATAAATACAAATAATAATTATAAACGTAATTAATAATATTAATTCAGCATCATCATCCCTCTTAGGGATGTTACTTGGATGCAACAGAAACAACAACAACAACAACAACCTACCACCAGCCACTGCCATCTTTCTTATTTATTCGTACCTTAGCGTTTATCATCCCTCTGCCAGATAGTTTTGACTTTGCTTAGTAGCCTCGTTGGTGGTGTTCGAAGCTCCACGGCGCTAAACTCGCCCGAGTTTCCCTGCTAGCGCGCCACTTTCTACCCTCGTGTCAGGGTCTTTCCGATGTTAGCCAAACCCTCTCGCTCTCCCTTATTTTTTTTTTCTTATTAATAAATTCTTTTACGAAAAAACCCCCCCCCTAAAAAAAGACCCTCCCCCCCAAAAAAAAGGATAAGAAAGAAAGTAAAGTAACACAAGCCGAACCTCGAATAAATATTTCTTTACCGAACACACACGTCAATTTTACTCTCTCTCTCTCTGTATCTAACACTTTCTCACCATATCTTTCTCTTTAAAAACCGAAACACAAAAGAAAGAAAGAAAGAAAGAAAGAGAGAGAAGAATTAGAGAAAGTAGGAGAAAAACACAATATATAAGGGTGAAATAAATTTAAGATTAGTAAATAAAATCCTTGACGTAATATTTCTCGTTAGAATTTTCCAATGTAACTCGCGATGAGTTTACCACGATGATATATCTGAATGATGCGAGTATTGCACGTTATGCACACTTAACGTTGGTGCATGTTAGCAGTGTCTTTCGTCTGACCCGGCCTGGGCTTTACTACTGCCAGCAGAACATCGAGGGAGAGAAGAGAGAACGGCCAAGTAACTTCCTTCCTTCAGCTCACCCCTCAACCACCCCCTTCGTTCTCACTCTCTCTCTCTCTTTCTCTCATTCTCTCTTTCTCTTTCTCTCTTACCCCATCGTCGTCTGCCCGGGTGCTTAGGCGTCGATACCCCGACAACGCTTGCGCGCCGCCCTCGGTACACCCCCCCTTACCCCCTTACCCAACAACTCCTTTTTCGCAGCGCATTGGCTGCGACTCTCTGTTAGCTACCGTGCTGCCTGCCTGCCTGCCTGCCTGCCAACTCACCCCTCCGATGCATAAACCCTCCCCCCACGACACAGCAATACCAAGGACCGAAGGAATCTTTCTCGCCAAATCTTCAACACCTACCCCACTATCTCGTCCCTTCATTCCACCCTCTCAATCCTCTTCTCTAGGTGATCAAGATCGCACGTGCTTTTTACATTTTGTTCTTATCTTTTTCTTTTTTTTCTAAATACAATTGAATTTATTTTATGCTTTAATACTTTATTTTAATTTCAAAAAAATATCTGTTTTATTTTTTATCCCCTTCTCA